CACACTCTATCCACCAGTCTGTGGTATGTACTGTAGGAAGGGACTTAAAGTAAACACACTCTTTCCATTAGTCTTGCTTTTCAATACCTAGCTGTATTGAAATTTCTTACTTGTCCTGCTAAATGGATAAATTATACATTCATCATACCTTTTATTTAATTTTCCAATTTCATAGTGACATATAATATGGGGTAGCTATATTTTTTGTCTTATTATATTATATAAATTATACTCCCCACAACGAAGTGTGTGTGGGGGGGTGTATACTGGAATCAGCTCGTCGGTCTATCCATTCATAGACAAAATTTTCCAATTTCATAGTGACATATAATATGGGGTAGCTATATTTTTTGTCTTATTATATTATATAAATTATACTCCCCACAACGAAGTGTGTGTGGGGGGGTGTATACTGGAATCAGCTCGTCGGTCTATCCATTCATAGACAAAATTTGTTGTCAGGCTATGCATTTACTCCCTTTTCAATACATTTCTTTGAATCTGTTTGTGTAGTGGCAGCACCATATGTTGTTGTGCCCTCTGAAATAACTTTGTATGTTTCACACCTTTTTAAGGGAGTTTGCTCCTTTTTGTAAAAATGTGCCAAAATATTGTCCGGCTTAGCATTTGCTAGTTTTTTGTTAGATTTCTTTGAATTTGTTTGTGTAGTGGCAGTAGCATGCAGAGGTGCCAAGCCTTCCTCTTTTGGCCTAATTCTTACGTAATAAAGCTAATCGTAAAATTCCGAAATTGAAGTTTTCAAATGTTGCCTGGTTGGTTTTGTTATTAAATAACCTTACCAAAAAAAAAGTAAAAAAAATGGATGTGCATGATAGAATTGAACAAAACAAACAATGCTCAGTGCAATAGAATATTATCTGCTGAAACGGTGACCAATGAAGAGTTTTATTAATGGGAAATTCAACCTGGTAATGAGATCATGACACATAAACTGTTGTTTATAGAAATAGTCAAATAGAGGTATCATAAAGAAAAAGATATTTCTAAAGATAGGTGTTTCACTTGTGATCTACCTGTGCCTGGCACCCTTATTACTCCATATATATGATAAATGGATTTTAAAAGAACCGTCCATGTTGTACATGTATTTGAGATACAAGTTATCAATAGTTTTGTATTGTACATTATACAGGATGACGCGGTCATTCTGTCGATTGTGAAAATAGTCTTGTTCAATGCAACAGTTGATTTGTTCCTCAGGATAAATGTTTTGACGAATGACAATCTGTGAACGTCAGATAGGGGCAGAATAGCTGTTTTTGACGAATGACATTCTGTGAACGTAAGATAGGGGCACCATAGCTGTTTTTGACGAATGACATCTGTGAACGTAAGATAGGGGCACCATAGCTGTTTTTGACAAATGACAATCTGTGAACGTTAGATAGGGGCACCATAGCTGTTTTGACGAATGACAATCTGTGAATGTCAGATAGGGGCAGAATAGCTGTTTTTGACGAATGACAATCTGTGAACGTAAGATAGGGGCACCATAGCTGTTTTTGACAAATGACAATCTGTGAACGTAAGATAGGGGCACCATAGCTGATTTTGACAAATGACAATCTGTGAACGTCAGATAGGGGCAGAATAGCTGTTTTGACGAATGACAATCTGTGAACGTCAGATAGGGGCAAAATAGCTGTTTTTGACGAATGACAATCTGTGAACGTCAGATAGGGGCAGAATAGCTGTTTTTGACAAATGACAATCTGTGAACATCAGTTAGGGGCAGAATAGCTGTTTTTGACGAATGACAATCTGTGAACGTCAGATAGGGGCAGAATAGCTGCTTTTGACGAATGACAATCTGTGAACATCAGATAGGGGCAGAATAGCTGTTTTTAACGAATGACAATCTGTGAACGTAAGATAGGGGCAAAATAGCTGTTTTTGACGAATGACAATCTGTGAACGTAAGATAAGGGCACCATAGCTGTTCTTGACTAATGACAATCTGTGAACGTAAAATAGGGTCACCATAGCTGTTTTTGACGAATGACAATCTGTGAAAGTAAGATAGAGGCACCATAGCTGTTTTTGACGAATGACAATCTGTGAACGTCAGATAGGGGCACCATAGCTGTTTTTGACGAATGACAATCTGTGAACATCAGATAGGGGCACCATAGCTGTTTTTCTGCTTTTTGAATAGGTCATAATTATATATTACTCATGTTTTAATCAAATTCCCTAAACATTGATAAATATAGGATATTAATAAGTGAGTCCTTGGACCGACATGTTATTAAAAGTATGGGTTCCAAAATAAATTTGTGGGTTAAACGATAAGTTGCTGGATATTGCATAGAACCAATGCATGATTGGCTGGTTACCAACATCAGTATCCAACCAGGCCACTACTTACACCAGCAATCGCTATAATTAGAACAGGGGATTTCTATAAAGATAAGGCTTAACACTTAGCGGGAATAAAAATGACACCAAATTTTGAGCAACTTCTGATATTGATCGATTAAGAAACATGTTATAAACTTTATCAACTTCTGAATTGATATGCGTCCTGGCCATGGGTCGTGCATGAGTAGAATAGGTGCATCCTTTCCAATTAGCATACATCTAAAGACGCAGGACGTGCAAGTAGATTGATCACTGCCTAAACTTTACAGGATATGATGAAGATACGGAACATGGATAATCCCTGACCGCTGTCCTTCCCTGACCTCTCCCCTTCCCTGACTGCTGTCCTTCCCTGACTGCTGTCCTTCCCTGACCTCTGTTCATTTCTGACCTCTGCCCGTCCCTGACCTCTGCCCGTCCCTGACCACTGACCTTCCCTGACCTCTGCCCTTCCCTGACCGCTGTCCGTCCCTAACCGCTGTCCGTCCCTGACCTCTGCCTGTCCCAGACCTCTACCGTTCCCTGACCTCTGCCCTTCCATGACCTCTTCCCTTCCATGACCTCTCCCCTTCCATGACCTCTCCCCTTCCTTGACCGCTGCCCTTTTCTGACCTCTGCCCTTCCATGACCCCTGCCCTTCCATGACCTCTGCCCTTCCTTGACCGCTGCCCGTCATAATCACGGTCAAAGCAGCATCCTCCTTCTGCCAGAAAAAAAACACAAAATTTTATTCTGAAAGAAATTGAATGTTTGAATATAAGAAATTTTAAAAATTCATGCATGTGATTCTCAAGAGCAGGCATGTGACTCTCAAGTACAAGACCACTTATAAAATTTGCACATGACTTTGACCGTGCTCTGCTGTCAGACTAGTAATAGATATATAACAGGACATAGATAACAGTGTATACAGTATTTGTATGGGAGAGATAATAACCAGTACATAATGTTATAATCTGTTTCCTAACTTAGAGATGTTAGTCAGGTCCTTTTATTTTAGCTTTGCTCATGCGTCGTGCATAAACTTTTTACATTTTCGACCTCTTCCCAAGAACTAATGGATAGAATTTTTTCAAACTTGGTCAGAATCAACCTTGGTAGGTGAGGCTACACAATTGTAAAATTGGGATTCCTACCCCAACCCCAGGGGCCAGGGTGGGGCCCCAAAGGGAAAGTTAACCAATAGGTACTACAGTCAATTTCTCTGCATGAATGGAAAGATCATCAGGGTGTTTTTTTAATTATAATTTTCAGTACCCCAGGGCCATAATTTCTCCTTTGGGGAGGCTAGGGGATAAAATTTACTATAGTTTATATAGGGAAATAACACTTTTGGTATATTTTGGCAATTTTCAGTAAGAAATTAATCTTACTTGGTGAGAATCATCCTTGGAGGAAGATGGTATCAAATTGTAAATTTGGGATTCCTGCCCCAACCCCAGGAGCCAAGGCGGGGCCCCAAAGGGAAAATTAACCAATATTTCAAAAACTCCAGACTCAGAGGCACTATAGTCAATTCCCTGCATGTAAGAAAAGATCATCAGGGGCTTTTGTTTAAATTTGTTTTAAGTTTTCCACATTTTGTACATCTCAACAATGAAATTGAGTTACTAGTACCTATAATATAACTCAGGTGACCGCTAAGGCCCTTGGGCCTCTTGTTCATAATATAGCATGGTTTAATGTCATTTGTGCATTGTCTATTTCAACAAGCAATTTGTTTAAACATCTGGGATTGTCAGTTCAAAAAAGTTATTCTATTGATATTTGGTGTGTTTTATTATTATATTAGGTATGGTATGTAATGGATTCTAAAGTAAAGATTGAAGAGGTTCAATAATATAAGGCCACCAGTCCTATCAGACATCATGTCCCTGCCGTGCCATTTTAAGCCGATGAGGGAGTTGGGGTGTAGCAGGGTCATAAGGTCATACCCACATGTGATCCAGTCTGTCAGTGTCATCCCTGTAGCACCTTCAGTTCTGAATGGTTCATTTTACATGAATGAAGAACACTCAGAAGAGTTTCTGTTGTAGAAGAGTTCAGGGCCCAGGTAATCATTACTGTTTTTATATTTGTTTCAAACAACACTTATTTACATAGGAGCAGGGCATTCATGTCTTGCATTATCTGGTCTCATTTTCAGTTTGAAGATCTATCTTTTTACTTCTTATCTAGCATTATACCTTTGTCCCAGTTAGGAAGGCCAGTTGAACCTGGTGTACTAGCTGACATCGGTCCAGTCATCACATGTCTACTCTAGTGTATATATAGTTCAATGACCTGAAGTTGATCTCAAATGATGTTTAGGTTATACTAAATTCACAAATCATAAAACCTACAATCCAAATGTATAGAAAATACTCAAGAAAAGCCTTATCAAATTAAGAAGAAGGTAATGGCTTATTTTCCTGATTTCAGGACAAGTCTGATGTGCTCTAGTTGTGAGTCAAAAGGTCCTGCATTCATTTCCTAATTTTGAGTCTGAAGAATCTTTAGCAATTTGGCTGTATTGCTTTAAACAACTTCTTCTCTGGAACTAAGAAATGGATTTCAACCATATTTGACTGGAAGCATCCCTAGCTAGTGGGGATTTAAAATTGTACAAATGTCGGGGCTGACACTCCAGGGGGCTGAGGGGTGGGGCAAAAAAGGGTTATTTAGGTATAGTGCTTTAAGCAACTTTTCTCTGGAACTAAGTGATAGATATCAACCATATTTGACTGGAAGCATCCCTAGGTAGTGGGGATTCAAAATTGTACGAATGGTGGGGCTGACGCCCAATGGCCAAAAGGGGGTAATTTGACTATTATTGCTATAAATGACTTTTTCTGTAGAACTATGCAATGGATATCAATCATACTTGGTTGGAAGCATCATGGGAGGCAGGGATTCAAAATTGTACTAATGGTGGGTTGACCCCCCAGGCTAAAGGGTGGGGCCATAAATAGTTGATTACTTGGAAATGGTTGAGATCCCCACCCTATAACCATATATACAATTACTGCGTATAAAGAGACGAAAGAGTTCATGATATTAGAATTGACCCCGGGGTCTGCCCCACCCTTGCAGACTTAACCCCTGGGTCATAACTTTGAAATGGTGGAGATCCCCACCCCTAAACAATATATATACAAATGCTCGGCATAAAGAGACAAACTGAGTCATGATATTAGAATAGAAGCTGGAGTCTGGCCAAATCCCTAGGGACCTAGTTTCTGAGTCACAGCTTGCAAACAGTTGAGATCCTTACCCTATAACTGTATATGCTTCCAGGATGACTCAGGGTCTGCCCCACCCTTGGAGACTTAACCCCTGGGTCATAACTTCGAAACAGTTCAGACCCCACCCCAAAACTATATATACAATTGCTGGGCATAAAGAGACGAATGCAGTCATGATATTACAATTAACCCTGGGGTCTGCCCCACCCTTGTAGACTTAACCCCTGGGTCATAACTTTGAAACAGTTGAGATCCCCACCTCAAAACTATATAAAAAAAATGCTGGTCATAAAGAGACGAACGCAGTCATGATATTAGAATTGATCCTGGGGTCCCCATAACCGTACATAAAATTGCTGGGCATGAAAAATCTAATACAGATATGCTACAAGGACTGGCCTAGGGGTCTGGTCAATTCCCTTGGATCATATTTGGATCATATTTTGCCATGATTGCTTAGATATCCAGGTGAGCGATACAGGCCCTCTTGGCCTCTTGTTATTCCTTTTCAGCCCATGTCAAAAGGTTAGAAGCACAGTTAAGAGGGCTCTAATCTTCAGGTCGAATGATGTTACAATGGGGTTTTAACTCAAAGGTCATATCCTAGTTTTGGCTGAGGGTCAATTGAGCCACCAGCCCAAGATTGGGATTGGAGGAGAATTGTGTTCCAAAACAAGAGGTAAGTTTCCTGGGCCAATAGTACTTGAACTTCAGACACTGCTTCCTTAACGAATGTGCTGAATTTAAATTGATCTTTAGAATTAAACATCAAGGTCAAGGTCACTAACTGTGAATAGAAAATCCGTTTCTGCACAAAAACTTGAGTTTCTGTTGGTCAAATAAATTTAAATTAAAGCTTTCTTATGGAAAGTGGTGGCTTGGGACTGGACTATACTGTGACAAGCAATAGCTAATCATGAGCTTATAGGGTTTGAGAAAGCCAGCCTTAGAGTTTGTTAAAGAGACTATACTGTGACAAGCATTAGCTGATCAAGAGCTTAAAGGGTTTGAGTAAGCCAGCCTTAGAGATTGCTGATCATCTCTGTTACAGACTATTGCTGAGCTGTTATGGTTCGAGTATGACTGGCTACAGGAGATGAGATTTCTCTGTTACAGATTATTGCTGAGCTGTTACGGTTCGAGTATGACTGGCTACAGGAGATGACATTTCTCTGTTACAGCCCATTGCTGAGCTGTTACGGTTCGAGTATGACTGGCTACAGGAGATGACATTTCTCTGTTACAGCCCATTGCTGAGCTGTTACGGTTCGAGTATGACTGGCTACAGGAGATGACATTTCTCTGTTACAGCCCATTGCTGAGCTGTTACGGTTCGAGTATGACTGGCTACAGGAGATGACATTTCTCTGTTACAGCCCATTGCTGAGCTGTTACGGTTCGAGTATGACTGGTTACAGGAGATGAGAGTTCTCTGTTACAGACTATTGCTGAGCTGTTACGGTTCGAGCATGACTGGTTACAGGACATGAGATTTCTCTGTTACAGACTATTGCTGAGCTGTTATGGTTCGAGTATGACTAGCTACAGGAGATGAGATTTTTCTGTTACAGACTATTGCTGAGCTGTTACGGTTCGAGCATGACTGGTTACAGGACATGAGATTTCTCTGTTACAGACTATTGCTGAGCTGTTATGGTTCGAGTATGACTAGCTACAGGAGATGAGATTTTTCTGTTACAGACTATTGCTGAGCTGTTACGGTTCGAGAATGACTGGTTACAGGAGATGAGATTTCTCTGTTACAGACGATTGCTGAGCTGTTACGGTTCGAGTATGACTGGCTACAGGAGATGACATTTCTCTGTTACAGCCCATTGCTGAGCTGTTACGGTTCGAGTATGACTGGCTACAGGAGATGACATTTCTCTGTTACAGCCCATTGCTGAGCTGTTACGGTTCGAGTATGACTGGCTACAGGAGATGACATTTCTCTGTTACAGCCCATTGCTGAGCTGTTACGGTTCGAGTATGACTGGTTACAGGAGATGAGAGTTCTCTGTTACAGACTATTGCTGAGCTGTTACGGTTCGAGCATGACTGGTTACAGGACATGAGATTTCTCTGTTACAGACTATTGCTGAGCTGTTATGGTTCGAGTATGACTGGCTACAGGAGATGAGATTTCTCTGTTACAGACTATTGCTGAGCTGTTACGGTTCGAGCATGACTGGCTACAGGAGATGAGATTTCTCTGTTACAGATTATTGCTGAGCTGTTACGGTTCGAGTATGACTGGTTACAGGAGATGAGATTTCTCTGTTACAGACGATTGCTGAGCTGTTACGGTTCGAGAATGACTGGTTACAGGAGATGAGATTTCTCTGTTACAGGCTATTGCTGAGCTGTTACGGTTCGAGTATGACTGGTTACAGGAGATGAGAGTTCTCTGTTACAGACTATTGCTGAGCTGTTACGGTTCGAGCATGACTGGCTACAGGAGATGAGATTTCTCTGTTACAGACTATTGATGAGCTGTTATGGTTCGAGTATGACTAGCTACAGGAGATGAGATTTTTCTGTTACAGACTATTGCTGAGCTGTTACGGTTCGAGCATGACTGGCTACAGGAGATGAGATTTCTCTGTTACAGACTATTGCTGAGCTGTTATGGTTCGAGTATGACTAGCTACAGGAGATGAGATTTTTCTGTTACAGACTATTGCTGAGCTGTTACGGTTCGAGAATGACTGGTTACAGGAGATGAGATTTCTCTGTTACAGACGATTGCTGAGCTGTTACGGTTCGAGTATGACTGGTTACAGGAGATGAGATTTCTCTGTTACAGGCTATTGCTGAGCTGTTACGGTTCGAGTATGACTGGCTACAGGAGTTGGTAGATGCTTTGCTGGAGGCTGTTGATGATGCTGAGCTGTTTTTGGAGCTGTCTATCGCCGACATACTGTGGGGCTATGAGGACAACCTGTTGAAGTCTATAAAAGACATAGCTGAAAGGTTCAATCACACACTTCCAGATCAATTTGGTTTGTTCTACAATGTGAGTAGCAACTAAGGCCATCCTTATAAAATTGTTTGCTGTTTCCCGACCAACAAAATAAATATGGCACTAAAACTTTCAACAATATTTTTCTTCAGACCTAGATATGCTGGAATCGAATACCTTTCATGGGTGGAAAGGTCTTTAGGTGCTTTATCAAAAGTTGTGAATTTCATAATCCCAGGTTACGCATTATCCCCGCTGGGGAGGGGATAATGTTTACAATAGTTTATATAGAGAAATAACACTTAATTTTAGTAGCATAGGATTCAATCTTGGTTAGAATTATCATCATCTGCACTTTGATGGTATGAAAATTAAGACCCAAATTCAACCCCAGGGCCTGAGAGGCAGGGAGCTAAAAGGGGTCAAATTGGGGAGGGGTAACTTTTTACTGTAGTGTTTGTCGGAATACACTTTTAGGTATATTTTGCTTGGTGGAAAATAACAACCAAGTTGGAATTACCATCCTATGTTTGCTGTGGGAGGTTATGAAAAAGAATGATTGACTCGTCCTCGAAGTCTTAGGGGTGGGGCCGAAATGTTAGAATCTAATCCTCTTCATTGATGGAGAGATGCTAAGATGCTTTTGTAATTTTAACACATCACAACAACAGAAAACATATTTTTACATCTCGAGTGATCGTCAAGTCCAATGGGCCTCTTTTTTATTTGTTTTTGCTTTATTTAAGATATGCAGTGAAACCCCACTTAATCAAACTCACATTACTTGAATATCCCCTGTTCCTCGAATAGCTCACTTAGTCCCGACGGTGTTCTTATATATTATATATGTATTTCACGATGATGTTTGACATCAATGTTTTAGGGGAAGTGTTAAGGATCCCCGTCCCTCCGCCTAAAAATGTAACGAGGCATTGTTGTTTTTTCTACAGCATCGCTATTGCATAAGCAAATCATTTCTGAACAATAACCCATACCTTGTGGGAGTTTTTGATTTTTTTTTCAATTGAACAAAATGAAACAAAATATATATTATTTGATGCAACAATGGTTTATTAGAAATACAACACATAAAAAATAATAACAATGTCAATATTGATGAACAAAATACCAAAAAACTGAGTAATTTTCTAACAATAATATTAAAACAAACAAAAAGCCCATTACATGAATCAAAAAAATTCTAATAAAAAAGAGAGACAACTCGTACATTTGTACCAATAATATACAATTTACAACATACAATATAGCACTTTTTGTATACAAATATAATACAGTAGGCATTACCAACCAATAAAATTACTTCAAATGTATACGTAATAACCAATATAAAATAAATTACACATTGTGTATGTATAACATTATAACAAACAATGTACTTGACTGTGTCAGAAAAATGTCACAATGAACAACAATAACAAAGTTCCACATTCTTTACACAACAATTATAAATTTCTACATAGTGTACAAAGAACATACTATGTTGTAATATAAAAAAAATCAGACTTTACAACAATAATAAACTTTTACATTCTGAACAAAACAATTTTAAACTTTCACATTATGTACAGCTAACAACATACCATATTGTGGTATAGAAATATCACACTATATAGCAATAATACACTTTTACATTATGTACGAATAACAACATATGATATTGTGGTATAAAAATAACACTGTTGTATGTAGTATAAAAAAAAGGAACTTGAAATATAGGCCTACCGGGCATATAATAACAAATATAAAATATGATCCTGACTATTGTGATGTCATGCATGTGATACACTTACTTGTATGTATAAAATACTTCCCAGGCCAAAATGTCTTTCCTGTTGGGTATTGGACAACCGTAGCCTAGTACAGCATTCCTTACAACCTTTCTGGTCCAGGTATTCAGATAACACCGCGAGTTCAACCACTCGTCTACCCTGCGACCAGGTTAAAAAGTTATTGGTGTATTCATGATCATTGGTACTGGAGGGATCCTCATCGGACGTCGGTGTTAGCTCATCAGTCAAATTGTCAGTAATAGGGGCCTCAGTAGTCAGCGTCTCTTCAATGTGTGAACGAGTGTCACTTTGTTTCGTCGCATAGTCGTGGTCTAGCAGTTGATATTGGACATCGTTGTTGTTATTATTGTCAGTTAATGCGTTTAGTTTACATTTAAAATGGACGTTTATGTCGGGTCGATCAGAAAACGAATATGGCTGCCAAGCCCACCATTTTGAAAAACTATTTCAAACTTAAAGTCAAGTTCCTCTGGGCGAATTTAATGAGATAACAACATTGTCGCAATGGTTATCAGGGGCAGATGACTTTTAACACTGAAAAACGACAGTGGAATTCTTTAGTGTTTTGCTCTGCCTGAGACGGGGATTCTTAATTCTTTGTTTGTGTAAAATCATATTTCAGCTTGACAATATTAATCAGAAATCACATAACAGATTGTCGACCATCTTTAAAGATATTCAAACTTGAACAAATCATCATTATAATAACTTGGATTCAAAACATGATGATGTCTGACGACCTTCGCATTCGTCGAATACAATGTATTCCGTGAACTATTGATCTGGTGCCCACGAGTTGGAGTTAGCAGGGTTTTACTGTATTTTGTATAATGTTTGTGCTATACATTTTATAGGAGTTATTGACTCCAAATCAATGTTATTTATTTGAGCATTAAGGCCCTTTGGGCCTCTTGGTTAAAAAAGAACTTACCTACCTATCCAAAAGAAAACAATATGAAGATGGGAAATGGCAAACATTTTTTTTTTTTAAATATGGCCTAATAAGGAGAACAAATGAAATAGATAAATGCACCAAAATAGTCACATTTAATAACTAGAAACGGACCCATACTGCTATAAAAAAATTAGAAAATAAGGTATAAATAATATTCTATAAATACTGGCTGTATCACGTCCATAATCTTTGTTGATTCCTGTATTTGTTTTAAGTGTTAAGTAATAATTGTTGTAGAAATACTGGAAGTATCAAGTCTATCAACTTCAGTGATTCAAGTATTTGTTTTAAGGGTTAAATAAATTATAATTATATTGTTTTAGAAATACTGGCATTATGAAGTCTGCAACCTTTTATTGATTGATGCATTTCCTGATTTTGTTGGACAGACGAATGGTTCTGATGATGGGGTATACACGATATTCACCGGGTCAGATGTTCAGGGAGTTGACAAATTCAATATCATTGATAAATGGAACTCTAAAACGTAAGTTTGACGAGTGCAAATACTTGTCACTATACTAAAACTCAACCTTCACTAAAGTATTAGTATCGATGTTAAGATATATGACACACATTCCAATCCAGTGTATACTAGCAGCCTCACAAGTACATGATTATCAATACTTTACCATTATTCGGAAACTGATCTTGATTCCAGCCGGTTTATCAGCCAGTCTGTATTTTTTTATTCTCTCTTTTGGGATTTTTTTTTTTAAAATGTGCTCTGCCAAAATTAAAAATTCTGCTTAGCCTTTCAAAAAGAGATGCCTTGTGCAGAATTCACCTACATATACCGTATTCATTGCTTCTTTTTACTGCATAGCTCGAATAATTGATTATAAAAGTATTATTGCATTGTAACATTGTTCTTCAGGAGTCTTGGTTACTGGAACACAACACTATGTGACATGATAAACGGAACAGGTAAGTCACTCCACTATGTGACATGATTAACGGAACAGGTAAGTCACTCCACTATGTGACATGATAAACGGAACAGGTAAGTCACTCCACTATGTGACATGAT